CTACTACTACTACTACTACTACTACTACTACTACTACTATTACTACTACTACTACTACTACTACTACTACTAATACTACTACTACTACTACTACTACTACTACTACTACTACTACTACTACTACTACTACTACTACTACTACTACTACTACTACTACTACTACTGATATTAACATGTTCTTACGTTATGCGCAGTAGAATTGTAAGTGGGCTGATTAATTAATGGCATGCTCATACTGTGCCGGAACAAGTTAAGGGGAACTGCTGCTTTTTCTTTCCTCATCCTTACTATCGTCATTTTTCCTCTACTTCTTTTGTATGTTTGTCACTGTCTGGTGAACTGCTATTTCCGGGGTGCCTTGATAGTCGAAGCAGACTGTTGTTGAGGCTAGAGAGATGAGCTGAGTAAGTCTGATTCCCCGTTTGGACTTCTCTGTTGACATCCACAGCCTTGGCGCTCATATGACTTTATGCAGTTGCCAGCGCCGTAAAACCTTATTAAAACAAACAAGACGCAGAAGAGTTCGATTCCTGTAATGGGGGGGTTAATTTTATCGAATGTCTGTCTCCTGGGACGTTGTAGTTTTATTGAACGCATGCCTTGTGCGCCCAAGGCCTAACAGGTAAACAGCTTGACCCAAGACACCTGACAGCTCTACTGTAAGTCAGAACAAGAGTCCGTATGTTTTCAAACAACCGCTGGGCATCACATTACTTGAACCAGAGTGTGAAGACAACATTGATCACTATGGCCAGAAATCTGCCATAATGTGTTGCGTAAAATCAAAACAATAATAATATGCAATCTATTCAAACAGACAAACACGAAAAAGGAGATTATTCTGGTTCGTATCCAAAGAGGTAATAATATATTATATGATACAAGAGCTCGCTGGAGTGACGTCACACGTGTCAGACATGGACGCCTTCTTACCGTCATCGGCATGGCTGGCGTGCCCTCATTTACATGAACAGTCTGATCCCCCACCCCTCTCCTGACGAGCTCCAGTACATTAAACACCACCCTGCCCCTACATTTCTGATTTCAATGCAAGCTTGTATATTTCCTCATGAGACCACCTAGACACCTCCTCGTGAGTCTCGAAAAGTACTCACCCGACTGTTAAGATGTGCATGTCTTGTCCTTGAGATTCAGCGTCCCAGAGTGGGCACACGCAGCCTCCGTTCGTTTACGTGGGGGGAAATCGCAGCCACGAACTCTAGCACTAAACCTCTTTGCTCACAGATCTAAATTTTCTTCTTAGCCAAAAGCCCAGGGTTTATTCAGAAAAACATAACTGTTTCGTGGGGATTGAGTTTGGCTGGTACGAGGTTGTGATGCAGGTGGACCTAGTTTGATCCCCCCCCCCTCACCCGATAAAAAGCTTAGGTCCTTGGACTTGTCTGTGGGGTTTCAAAGGCTTTCCGCCGTCTTGGCCTGGTCCCATTGGAAATGGACTATAAATTCACAGGTGCCTCTACTATAAAAACCTTAGTCTTGAAAGGGCCGTTAAATCTATACCATACCGTAAATTTGGTTTGTTTCTGTGCAAAACATTGTGACGTAAGTAAGTACGGTAGTTATGAAAGGAGGTAGAGATAAAATGGTGTTATAGTCCGAATTCAGGATTAGAGGGGCGGGGGGGGAATCAGCTTTCAAAATGAGAGAATTGCAGGCAGAAATTCAAGTGGTTATGGGCCAGTCCTAGTCCCAAAGCAGTTTTTCCTTACTTTTATCT